GAAGCTGAGATTGCTGACTTGAGACAGAAATTTGAAGCTTCCAAAAGGTTACACTTTTTCTGACTAGTTTTTTAATTGTATGATAGGAAACAGATAGTATGAAATGAGTAGAGACACATTGAATCAGTGTTCTACCTAAAAGATGTATCAAATAATACAAATGCAGTGGAAAAAACATAACACCCGCTAATCAAGAGACAGTCTTAAACTGCAACACATGCAGGCCAAAGAACATCAAAGAAATCTAAGAAATTGTTCACATTCAACAAGCAAGGGCACTCTTTAGAGTCATTAGAAACCGAGACCCAAAACAATTTTTTCATTGTCCAAATTTATCCTTAAAATCCTGGTATTTCTTTCTAGACAAACCATCCGGAACATTACCATTACACCAGAGTACCATAAAACTCTTTACTTTTTTCCTCTCCATTAAAAGAACAATAGTTCTCTTCTTTATGAATAGCTGTGGACATGCTTGATTAATTACCCAACTTCAAGCAATGGAGCAATGGGCTAATTACCCAACTTCAAACAAAAAATGGGTAGTGCTATCCATACACCCATTTTTACTTCTCACACACCCCTCTCAATTTTCGGCCGTCGGATTAAATGAATTGAGGAAGATCCATGGCCAAAAATTAACAAGGGTGTATGGGAGGTAAAAATGGGTGTGTGAATAGCACTATCCAAAAAATTTGCTGAATGTCGTGTTTTGGTTCGAGAGAAATGCTAGGATTAGTAGGATGTTTAAAGGGTTTTTAAGAAACTAAGAAAACATAAGCCTTGGGTCTTCTGGTTGGGTTTTAACAGGTTGCATGGGTGAAGCATTCCACTCTTTCCCTTCATTTTCTCAGATTTGGACTAACAAAATACGATTGAGCTCTCGTTCTTCCTCTTAGTTACTTTTTATTGAATCCCCCTAATTTATTTATTTATTACTTATGGAATCTCAATGAGCTAAAAGCCTAAAATAAGGAGTTCGTATGTATATGGTTCACTTTGAACCGTCATACTTATTTGAAGCATTGGAATAATTGTCCATAGTTCAATTCATCCTTCATCTCAAAAAATGATTGATTGTGGCAGCTCACTCATGGGATTGACAACTTTATGCACACTTGTGTGACTTTCCTACTTTATATGGGCTTAAAACGAGATCAAAACACAATGGAATTATAGATTACATTTAGTTTGTAATGGTAACTAGTACACTGTTGTTTGGCTGTTCCTAGTTCTCCATTCGACATGATTATTGCGTAGAGGAAATTTGATTTTTCCTTCTCTTGGCATTTCAGGGATATTTTGAGACTTTCTGATGTTCTGAAATCCAAAAATGAAGAAAACGAGGCATACTTATCTGAAATTGAGGTTAGTGCTCTTCAGCATATGCGGATGAGAGTTTTCCCTTGTCATCGGATAGTTCTGACATTTTATTTTGATTTTTCTTAAGACAATTGGACAGGCATATGATGATATGCAAACTCAAAACCAACATCTACTGCAGCAAATTACTGAGAGAGATGACTATAACATTAAGGTGATTGACTTGCCATTTTCTTTTGTCTGAAGGTTAAATTTTATATGCTGTAATACCGAAGGGGAACAAAAAAACTCACAGGCATCAGTCCACATGGCATGCTAAAGTGTTGAATGATTATAAACATGTTCTAATATTAGGTTTTAATTTGTGGCTCTTTTTGCAGCTTGTTTTAGAGGGGGTAAGGGCAAGACAACAGCAGAATGCTGTACTCATGGACAATAGGAAAATGGAGAGGGAGATTCAACAAGGCCATCATTCTCTTAATTTCTATAACATGAAAGCCGCTCGAATCGAAGATCAGGTACTTTTGAATCTTCTGTAAAACGTTAAATTTGATTCATATGGAGTTAAGTTAAACTGATTGTTCGATTCTTTCTTTACAGTTGAAAATATGCAAGGATCATGTTCAGAAAGTAGCAGAAGATAAGTTGCAAAAACAAATTACGTGGGAAAATACTCAAAAGAGATTGTTAGAAGTTCGAAGGCAATCTCAGCAGTTACGGGAGGCTTTAGCCGCATCACAATCTAAAGTTGGAGAAAGTCGAAAGGGTCTGTCAGAGCTGCAGTTGGAACTAGAGAAGGAACGGTATAGTAGATGTTCTGCACCCCCTCCTGCAAATCATTTTATAGTGGTGGTGTCAACTCATACTTTGTTATTCAATAGGTTTGAAAAGAGAAGAAAAGAGGAGGAACTGGAAGTTTTAAAAAGAAAGGCTTCACGGCTTCGAGCAGAGACGGAGGCTTCATCAATTGTTGAAAAGCTTCAACAGGAACTTGGAGAATACAAGGAGATACTGAAATGTGATGTCTGCCTTGACAGGACAAAACAGGTATTAGCTGAAATAACTTCTATTTATACTTTATTTAGTTTATTTCCAGTTCAGCAATTCTTAGATTTTAGATGGTTAAAAATCTAAAATATCAACTTTTGGAGCCGAAAATGTCCAAATATCAGATGCTATGCAAGTTAATATGTGGAGCAACTAGGAAAATGTGAACATCAGTCTGACTTTACATTGAAATTTAATAATGACATACGTTAGGACATTATTTTTCAAATTTAGGTAGAAAGTAAAGAATAAGGGCATCAAATGATATATGAAGCATCACAAATATGGATTTAATTTTAAGCGAAGGCAACTTGTATGTGAAATGGAATGCATTATTTTCAAGAGAAATGCTAATAACCTTCTCACTTACCTTCTCCTCTCAACCTTCTCAATTCTACTCATGCCATGTGTAATAAACTGACACCGAAAACTAAAATTGTAATTATATTTAAATCCCAATATTTTTCTTCCTTTCTTAATGTAATTAAGGTTCTACTTTTTACGTAATTAAAGTTTTAGTTTTGCGTGCTAATGGAATACACGTGGCATGAGTAAAAGTGAGAAGGTTGAAATAAGAAGGTTGCTAGCTTTCCCCAATTAACAATTGTGGTTTTAAAGTCTTTTTGCTATTTATTTATTTCCTCTTCCACCATCCTTATCTTTTCGGAATTGAAATGTTAAAGTTCAGATGCCAGTGGCCAGTCAGTCATAGGAAAATTTATGTTACTATAATCATCATCGTTATTTTGGTGCCTCCGGTACAGCACTTAGTTTCTTTTCTTTATCTGAATGCCCAGGTTGTCATTACAAAATGCTATCACTTGTTCTGCAACCCTTGTGTGAAAAAAGTACTTGAAACTCGACAGAGGAAGTGCCCGAGGTGTTCTGTGAGCTTTGGACCTAATGATGTAAAACCTGTATACATCTAAAAGGAGACGGATGAAACTTTCTTGAGATCAGCATCATGCATGTGAGGCAAGTGCAAACGATCCGAGACTTGAATTATGGGCTATTGCAGCTTCAAATGTAATTGTTATCGTAGTGAAAATTAGAAAAGCTTTGTTTAGAAAAGTAGCTCTCCCTTCCCCTCATGGATCGGTACAAATAACCTTAGTTTTGCTGGTTCTGCTTCTAGGATGTTAGTATAACTGAGTTTTTCAGTGCAGCATAAAACTCTTTTTGGTTTTGCCCTTTTTAACTGGTTGGAGCCCTGGAATCTCACCTTATCGTCGGATTTATCAGATCTTGTCATACCGATTGTATTCCCAGAGGCGGTTTTGCCCGCGTGATCATAAAAGAATAAGATATTGTGTTGGGGACTGGCAGTCGGTGTTTATTTGTACCCGAGGGCTTTTGTTTCTGCGGAAAACAGATGAAGCTGTGTCCGAGCTATTGGCTGTACAGATTTTAGTTGATGTTTAGGGAGTTGTCTAAAGTAGCCTTGTTTTTGCTGTTTAATTTGTCATTTGGTAAGTGCAGTTGGTATGTAAATGTTGCTGAGATTGATTATTCATTTGGTTATAAATGCAAAGACGGTCTCGGTTTTGTTCATTTATTAGCTGTAAACTTCCTTTTTGTTCACCATTTGTTCTTTGTACGTTCGGTTTAAGCCTTCAGAGTTGTGAGCCTGTCAGCCTTCTTGCTTGCTTGGTTACAAGGAAAAATGACAGGGTGCGGAAGGGACAGGTGAGGCGCGAGAGGAAACAGACCAGTTTGAAGGAGAAAATGACTCTGCACTTTCAATAACAAATTCATCTGAGTTTACCAGTGCACCCATTTGTATATTGATTCTTGAAAAAGAATAGCAGATAAATAACCCCGTTTCTCTTTTTGAAAAGTGATTTTCGTACATCTCTTTATGCTTCTCACACCTTTGTTAATCTTGACCGTTGATTTTGTTTGATTTATTCAATTTGATAGCCAGAAATAGAGAGAGGTTTGAGAAGCTAAAAAGTGTGAAATCACTCTTCTTATTTATGTCCTTTAACTATGGAAAAACAGTATGTCAGTAACTAATTTGCCTTTAAGCTCTTCATCACAATGCAGTGCTGATTTCGTCTTCAATCCACTATATCCTCGTCCTGAGTCAAATTCTTCATGTTCATTTGGTATAAATTAATGTAGAATATCTCAATATCATTTGTACTATAAAACACACTAAAGTAGAATTTTTAGTTGTATCAAAATATTAGATCACTTGTATCGAAATATTTTATATTTAATATCAATCTGCTTAATACAAGACACTTGTGATTCAAGTAACTATATGTGATGACCTAAGTTTAAACCTCTCATCTCTATTTAATATCTTTGTTTGGAGAGACCTCTTTCATAGCAAGAGATTTGTAGTTCAGTTAGTTAAGATCATTCACCCTTACATTCAAAATGCGGAGTTCAACTTTCAGCTTTCGTCATCATCCAATATCGTTTAATTTTTCACAAACAAAGGAGAAGATAAAACATGGGTATGCTATGAGATTGAAAAGTGATTTGCCATATCAGTTGTCTACTGATATAACAATTGTTTTTTTTGAACACGATATTATCTACGGAAAGAGGATGAGTTTAGCTTCACAATGAAAAACCTTTCACTTGTAGTGAAGAGAAAATAACAATAGGCCGTAGTCCTAATGCATGATACGGTGTTGTATTATCCTCTCTCTCACACGGTATCAGTCTCTACCCCCACTGTTGCTGAACGCAGAAGGCCAGCGACTTTGATTGTTTATTTAGGAGAGAAGGGAGATGGTTTTGAAACAGAAGCTGCACGAGGCGTTCAAAGGAACGGTGGAGAAAATCACAGGTCCCCGCACCGTCTCCGCCTTCAAAGAGAAAGGCGTTCTCAGCGTCTCCGAGTTCGTCACCTCCGGCGATAACCTCGTCTCCAAGTGCCCCACCTGGTCCTGGTATTCAAATTTCCCCCTTCTTTTTCTCTCAAGTTTTTTAATTTTATTTCCAAATTCCAATTTTGATTAATTCTCTCAATTTTTCTGAAATTCGAGGTTTAATTCAATGTCTAATCAGATAAAAATTACAGAAAGATGATAAATTGTGGCTATAATTCTTGTTAATTTCATTCGACTTTAACTTGCGTGTGTGTTTTTTTTTTCTTCGCATTTGATTTTTGTTTCGGTATGTTTTGATTTTCCGTCCTGTTGATATGGTGTTAGGGAATCTGGTGAACCGAGCTAGAGGAAGCCGTACTTAACCACCGGAGAAGCAGTATTTGATTACTAGAAATGGTACAGTGACATCGTGTTGCGCTATTTCCTTACAAGCCTTTTCTTGCATAGAATATAATGTTCAAACATGAGTAATGGTAATGTGTGCTTAGTGTTTTCTGCCTTTTCCTTTTCGTTTTAATCATTGATCATAACGGTCACCTATCTAGTGATCCTCTACACGGTTTTTGTAAATGAAAGAAAACCAAAGAAAGGAAAGTTTTGTCTTCCAAAAAGTTAAGTTAGGTCAATTAGTTTCCATAATCTTCACTGAGTCAAGAATCATATGAGCTAATCGCCTATTATTGTGTGTCTGCTCGTGTGCTTCACTCTCTCAATTTATGCATGTGCGTGCGAAGTCACTTGCCTCTCTTTATGCTTCACATCTAAGCTCTGTGAGACTGCTGCCATTACTTGTTCCTCGTACCTTTATCTACACCGGGTAATCTGTTTGTTTTCATTCAGTGCCATGCTTACGAAGGGCTGCATATTTGGAAGAGGAGTATGAAGCTGCTGGTACGGAACTTCTTCTTGATAATGAAGATAATGATGGCTGGTTGGCAACCCATGGGAAGCCGAAGGGTAGGTTACTTTGGTCAAAGTGCTATCCATACTTTCGCAGAACCATTTACTCAGACATTTTCTTATCTTTATAAGATAGAAGTGGTGAGGAGGAAAACTTACCTGCCATTGAAAGTTTAGAAATCAGCAAGAATAGGGATGTGAAGTCAGTCCCCTCACATGTTGGAGCAGAAGATGAAGACGATATTCCTAACATGGCTGACTTTGAAGAAGCTGACAACATCGAATTTGACCCTGTAAGTGTTTAGTTGGAGCAAAAAGATAGTTCTTGTCCCTTTAACACTCATGGCTATGATGCATATTGACCATGAAATTGATGCTTGCTCCATCAGTTTAGTATGTCATGTATGTTGGTTATATTGCAGGGAACATATCTTATTGCTCATGAACCTGACAATGACAATATTTTACGAACCCGAACATATGATGTTAGCATCACGTAAGATTATTTTTTTGTTTTAACTTTTTACCAGGTCCAACATTTTCCACATTTGAACTCGGTAGCATATTTCCTTTTACCAGGTTCAAAATTCTATGATAATGAAGTAGCTTTCAGGATAATTCAATTGTGAGGCAATTGAAGATTGCTTCAGTTTGTTGGTCTGTATAGTTAATTTAAAGTTGGCATCAATGATATTATTTATGTTAGTCACTTGCAGGTATGATAAATACTACCAGACTCCTCGAGTGTGGCTTACTGGGTATGATGAGGTTGGTTTCAGTAACTAGCAATTTTTCTTTTGAATGGTTCTATGATTGTCAAGAATTTATGTCATTTGCTATTCAACTTGAGGCAGTTAAAGTTTTGCATGTTAAGAATGTTCTCCAGCCCAATTTATCAAGCTGGAGGCTGGATTTTGAGCTTCAAATGAAAATAAAGGAATAAGAAAAACTTCTGAAAGAAGGTTGGAATTACAATAGGGTGAATAAGCTGTCACCAAATATACAAAATGGTTGGCATGCAACTAACATTAAGGGACAACGAAAGGAGTACAATCATCTCAAGAAACAGCAAGCATCCAATTCATAGGAAACAGAAACATTTAATTTCAGTTGGTTCCTAGCTTGACTTATAGAGCTAAATACTCCAATGAAATAAACTCAAGAGTGTTTTTCCCTACGATCGTATGCCTGAGTTTTTTATTTTATTTTTTTTGTTTGAGAATTAGATATGTTATTGAAAATGACAATAAAACAACAAAGAGAAAACCAAGTGGTGAAGAAGACCACTGGGAGATCAAGAAAAAGAAGAGTGACTGATATTGCAAAATAGTGGAGATATATCAAATGTAGTTGTTGGAGACCAAGTTCTTCAAGAAGAAACTAATTAAATGAGCTGACAGCTTAGCTGGAGTGTCTCTAAGCCAACATCTAGCTTGAGTAGTAAAGATGCATACGAACCAGCTAAGCCCATATGTAAAGCCCATATTCACATTTTTGGCTCAGTTTGGCTTGTATTAATTTCTTTGCTTGCTGACTCTATAGTGAGTATATTTCTTTTAAAGATGGGTAAATACTATATAGGTACATGTTTTGCAAGAAACTCATTCCTCTCCTTATTTTCTATGGCTCTTGGTGCTCAATAGGGTTAGGCTTAGTATCTATTTTACTACAGTTGGGATTTAATAATTAAAGAAGATAATGAATGTTAAAAAGTTGCAGTGGCTTGTTTCAGTTCTAGCTGTGTTAAGGTAACTGATTCTGTTTATTCCCCAATCCTGGTCATACCTTGGGCTCTGGCTAATTGCTTATTAAAATATACAATCATTTTTTTATGGCTACACGTTTTTAGACTTATTTCATTTTAAACTTGTGTGGGAATCTCAATTTGTCTGGTTTCTCATTCTCTAAAATTTGACTTGAAGAACTGATTAATCTCCCTTTCTAATGCCGTTAGTCAAGGATGCTTTTACAACCAGAGCTTGTACTTGAAGATGTCAGTCAAGATCATGCACGCAAAACTGTGAGTTGATGCCTCATATTATTCCTTGCTTTTATAATTAGAATCTGTCTTCCATGGGTTCCAAATCATTTGTTCATGGATATACAGTTATACAAATACATACAACTCAAAAGGTGGGGAGGGGTGGAGCATATATAAGAATATTTTTTTTTCCCATTGTTCTTTGTCGTCTCTCTCAACCATAGAATACAAGCTGGATGGATGAAGTGGAAGAGTGCATCCGGCGTGTTGTGTGACCGCCGTATGCCACTGAAGCTCAAGGGAAAATTTTATAGGACGGCAATAAGGCCGGCGATGCTGTATGGCACAGAATGTTGGGCGGTGAAACATCAACACGTACACAAAATGGGTGTAGCGGAGATGAGGATGCTTCGTTGGATGTGTGGGCACACGAGAAAGGATAAGATTAGGAATGAGGATATCCGGGGTAAAGTAGGAGTAGCCGAAATTGAAGGAAAGATGAGAGAAAATCGGTTACGGTGGTTTGGACATGTGCAAAGAAGGCCTACTGACGCTCCGATTAGAAGATGCGACTATGGGACAGAGGTTCAGGGCCGAAGGGGTAGAGGAAGACCTAGGAAAACTTTGGAAGAGACTCTAAGAAAAGACTTAGAGTACTTGGATCTAACGAAGGACATGACACAGGATCGAGCACAATGGCGTTCTAAGATTCATATAGCCGATCCCACTCAGTGACTTGGATTTTCCAAGTCTCCAACCAAGAAGTTTTCCTCACTCGGGAAATTAAGGGAACACTACCCCAACCTACATGCTCCACTCAGAAAGCTTCAACATACAAGCTTCAACAAAAGAAAATTCAAAGAACTTAGCGAAGAAGGCTTTGGTGTATTTAACACAATACGTTGAAATGAAGGAAAGCTTATTTATTGATATCCCCGATAAGCTACAAATATGTACATATACATGAGTCAAAAATAAACACACAAGAGGGAGCCTTCACAAAGGTTGCTTAGGAGAAGTCTCAGCAGTCGGTAGAGCCCCAGAAAGAGAAGGCACCGGAGGGGGATCATTTGGAGCCTCAGTACTGGACAGAACCCTAGGAGGAGGAGGCATCAGAGGTTGATCATTTGGAGCTTCATTACGCGGTACAGCCCCAGAAGACGAAGGCAATAAATGCCTTTGGAACAAACCCACAAATCTCTGATGATCAAGTAAAAACCTGACCATCAGTTTCCTTCATCTGGTCAAGCTTCCTCTTCATGTTTGTAGCATAGTCATGTGCGAGCCGGTGCAACTGTTTATTCTCATGCTTGAGCCCTCTAATCTCCTGTTTGAGACTCATCACTTCAGCCGCCAATGATTCAACTTGGCGGGTTCGAGCAAATAGGCGTTGGGCCATATTAGACACAGAACCTGCACACTGAACACTGAGAGCCAGCGAATCCTTAACAGCTAACTCATCAGACCGTTTGGAAAGTAGTCTGTTATCTTTGGGAGTGAGAAGGTTCCTGGCCACCACCGCAGCGGTCATATCATTCTTCATCACGGAATCCCCAACGGTAAGAGGACCAGTTGGGGAGACGAAGGATGGGCGCCATATGTTGTCTGGAGAAGGCGGGGCTGCCTCTTCAACAAGGTTCAAGTCAAAACGACGGTCGGAGGGGCCAGACATTTTCAAAGGTGTTGAAGAGAGAAGAGGTCGGACAAATCAAGATATTAGAAGTGCAAGAATGAAGCTTCTACTGGTGGAGATTCAAGTGTGCTTTGGAACTTAATGCCAGCCTCTATAAAAATCTGCACTCGACGGAGCTTCAGAAATCAAAGAGGCGCCTGCTCAGAAATCGAAGAGGCGTTTGCTTTCTCAAAAGTTGGGCTGCTTAGAGATCACGAGGGTTGATCTCAGAAATCGAAGAGCCGTTTGCTTTCTCAAAAGTTGGGCTGCTCAAAGACCACGAAGGCCGATCTCAGAAATCGAAGAGGCGCTCGCTTTCTCAAAAGCTGGGCTCCCTAGAGACCACGAGGGCCGATCTCAGAAATCGAAGAGGCACCTACTTTTCCAGCCTTGTCAGCACCTGTCACACGCACACTCAGCTTTGCGGAAATTATGGGCATTCTGTCAAAGACTTCTGGGGAAGTAGAAAACACATGAATCTTACTGTTCAATCACCCACTTCCCACACGCAACAATAGCTCATGGGTACCACAGATAACTTTGCCAAAGTTCTCTGCCAAAGTTGAGCACGTGAAGCTTGCAGCTCCCACTACATCGCTCTGACCAAGAAGGGTAAAAGAATAGCAAAGAAACAGCACTAACAAAGTTTAGACCCATAAATTTTGAAGGTCTAGCTACCATATTATTACCCACAAGGGTAAAGGAACAGTACCACTGCTGGATAATTGGAAAGTCCATGTATGTCAACCTCTGTGCTTCGTGGCAAGGTAGACTAGCAAACATGCCCAACCTTTACTCACATTCGAGAAAAACACTCCCAATAAGATTGCTTGCTCCAAAATCGAAGAGGCACCGTCCTCCGAATCTAAAGAGCCAGACTCCTAACATGACTACTTTCTTAAAAATCGAAGAGCGGGTAAAGGAACAGTACCATTGCTGGATAATTGGAAAGTCCCTGTGTGTCAACCTCTGTGCTTCGTGGCAAGGTAGACTAGCAAACATGCCCAACCTTTACTCACATTCGAGAAAACAGTCCCAACAAGATTGCTTGCTCCAAAATCGAAGAGGCACCACCCTCCGAATCTCGAGAGCCACTCTCCCAACATGATTACTTTCTCAAAAATCGAAGAGACACTGCTCCCCGAATCTCGAGAGCCAGACCCCCAGCATGATTGCTTTCTCAAAAATCGGTGAGGCACCGTTCTCCGAATCAATCGAAGAGGCGCTCGCTTTCTCAAAAGCTGGGCTGCTCAGAGACCACGAGGGCCGATCTCAGAAATCGAAGAGGCACCTACTTTTCTAGCCTTGTCAGCACCTGTCACACACGCACACTCAGCTTTGCAGAAATTATGGGCATTTTGTCGAAGACTTCTGGTGAAGTAGAAAGCACATGAATCTTACTGTTCAATCACCCACTTCCCACACGCAACAATAACTCATGGGTACCACAGATCACTTTGCCAAAGTTCTCTGCCAAAGTTGAGCACGTGAAGCTTGCAGCTCCCACTACATCGCTCTGACCAAGAAAGGTAAAAGAATAGCAAAGAAACAGCACTAACAAAGTTTAGACACATAAATTTTGAAGGTCTAGCTACCATATTATTACCCACAAGGGTAAAGGAACAGTACCACTGCTGGATAATTGGAAAGTCCCTGTGTGTCAACCTCTGTGCTTCGTGGCAAGGTAGACTAGCAAACATGCCCAACCTTTACTCACATTCGAGAAAACAGTCCCAACAAGATTGCTTGCTCCAAAATCGAAGAGGCACCGTCTTCCGAATCTCGAGAGCCAGACTCCCAACATGACTACTTTCTCAAAATCGAAGAGAGGGTAAAGGAACAGTACCATTGCTGGATAATTGGAAAGTCCCTGTGTGTCAACCTTTGTGCTTCGTGGCAAGGTAGACTAGCAAACATGTCCAACCTTTACTCACATTCGAGACAACACTCCCAACAAGATTGCTTGCTCCAAAATCGAAGAGGCACCGCCTTCCGAATCTCGAGAGCCAGACTCCCAACATGATTACTTCCTCAAAAATCGAAGAGACACTGCTCTCCGAATCTCGAGAGTCAGACCCCCAGCATGATTGCTTTCTCAAAAATCGAAGAGGCATCGTTCTCCGAATCTCGAGAGCCAGATACCACAGACCACTTTTTCAAAGTGCTCTGACAGAGTTAAAACATGTGAAACTGGCAGCTCCCACTACCGTGCTATGACCAAGCAGGGTAAAGGAATAGCATTACTACTTGTTGTTAGGGAGACTCCTATATATGTCGACCTCCATCCCCAACGGACAGGCAGACCTGCAAAAATGCTCAACCCTTCATCATATCTGAGAGGGCACTCCCAACAAAGCCTTTCGAAATATTCAGCTTTCTTTCCCCCCGATAATACCTCTGCAAACAAGCTATACTAGAGCAAGAATATCTCATATCATCAGGGTTAAAAGCAAGAGTATCCCATATCATGCTTTTTCCCTGTTTTTTCTTTTGGCCTTGTTTTTACCTGCAAGACAAGGAGAAAGAGAGCAATCAGTCAGTACTTGGAATCAAGCTTCCAGCCAGGAACTGACTGCCTGGAACCCCTTACCTGATTACTTACCTGGCATTGCTCTCGAGTACTCATCTTCATCATCTTATGTTTCCAGGGAAGATTCCGCATCTGCTTGAGGAACAGATAGGGCAAGTGCGAAGGATACAAGGAAGCATGTGGAGACAAGCGTAACAGCACACGTGCCGATACATCCATTACTCTGTCAAAAGCAAAAGTATCCCATATCAGCAGGGTGGAACGTACTCTAGATTTGATGGACTTGTTTTGACCCTCAAATTTTTCAGTCGGCCTTATACTCTGGAGGAAACCAGAAAACCCTCCAGCTCAGTTCAAGAATAAGCCTGTGGAAAGTTACTTCTTCAAAAGCAAAAAGTATCTCATCATATCATCTCTTCTCATTTTTCTTCTCTTTATCCTTCATGCTGCTGCAAGATGGGGAGAAGGTGAACAATCAGTCGGAGCTCTGATTGCTTACCTTGTCTGTCACCTCTTTCAGCAGACCCCCTAGCTCGGCGACTTGGGGGACTCCTACTACATGGTTTGTATCGCGCTTGACCAAGCCTGAAACTACAAGTAAGCTTCAAGTGAAATTGATACATTACCTTGTGCATCTCCACCAGTTAAAGATACCACCCCTGGATGGAGGAAGAGTACTTCCAGAGAAGATGCCACATCTACCTATGAGACAGATAAGGCAAGTCAAGACGACACCACACTCCGATACTTAGAAGTTTCGTGATTTACGAGATCATTATCCCACAATATTTCCTAATGTCATTTGTACTAAATCATTCACTCGTACTCACTAAAGGAGAGCTTGAACCTATGTACTTGTGTAAACCCTTCACAATTAATGAGAACTCTTCTATTCCGTGGGCGTAGCCAATCTGGGTGAACCACGTACATCTTGTGTTTGCTTTCCTATCTCTATCCATTTATATACTTATCCACACTAATGACCGGAGCAATCTAGCGAAGATCACAAAAAGCGACCGTTTTCGTTACCTAGGATCTATCTTGCAAGAGAGCGGAGAATTAGATGGAGATCTCAACCATAGAATACGAGCTGGATGGAAAGAGTGCATCCGGCGTGTTGTGTGACCGTCGTAGGCCACTGAAGCTCAAGGGAAAATTTTATAGGACGGCAATAAGGCCAGCGATGTTGTATGGCAGAGAATGTTGGGTGGTGAAGCATCAACACGTACACACAAAATGGGTGTAGCGGAGATGAGGATGCTTCGTGGGATGTGTGGGCACACGAGAAAGGATAAGATTGGGAATGAGGATATCCGAGGTAAAGTAGGAGTAGCCGAAATTGTAGGAAAGATGAGAGAAAATCGGCTCTGGTGATTTGGACATTTGCAAAGAAGGCCGACTGACGCTCCGGTTCGAAGATGTGACTACGGGACAGAGGTTCAGGGCCGAAGGGGTAGAGGAAGACCTAGGAAAACTTTGGAAGAGACTCTAAGAAAAGACTTAGAGTACTTGGATCTAACGGAGGGCATGACACAAAACCGAGCGCAATGGCGTTCTAGGATTCATATAGCCGACCCCACTTAGTGGGAAAAGGCTTTGTTGTTGTTGTTGTTGTGTTCTTTGTCGTCTCTACTTGACTCTATTTTGACTGTCTCTAATGTGAAACCATGCCTTGAAGATGCCACATCAAGAGGGTGGTACCTCATTCCACAGGCCACAATGTTTGTTGATTATGCTGTAAAGCCATTTACTCCTTTTTGAGGCTATGAATTTTTTATTTATTGCTCAAGTTCCCTAGGTGGTTGTGTTTTTCTTTCTTGTTTTAGTTTTTATTTCTTGTACTTTTTTAAGGCAGAGAAGTTTGCAATTTGTAAATTTTAATTGTGAGGAGAAATGGAAAAACTTCAAATGATTGTGTTTGACGGTTTATTATTTGGACACAGGTAACCATCGAGGATCATCCCCATTTGCCTGGAAAGCATGCATCTGTACATCCATGCCAACATGGGCCTGTGATGAAAAAAATTATTTATGTACTAATGTCACGCGGAGTGGAACCAGAAGTTGATAAGTAATTTTTTCTCCTGGCTCACCCATTTTGTATGCATTTATATATCCTTAAGCTAATTGTTTGTCATATGATGCTATCTCCCAGTGGCTAAACTGAGCTTTGTTGGATAGTTGCAATTTTAATTTCCCAATAAAAATGTCTTATAGTCTTACATCATCAATCTTGGAGTTTGATCTCCATGTTACGTGAGAGTGTCGGTGAATATAGGTGTTCACTAGGGTATGTTTTGAGCCATGCACAAACCTTGCTTCTTTTGATGCTGGGATGTGGTTGAATCACTAGGGTGTCAAAACCATGAGGTGGACTTTAAATGCATGCATATACTTATCGAAAGAACAATTTGATACTATACAACAACAACAACAACAAAGCCTTTTCCCACTAAGTGGGGTCGGCTATATGAATCCTAGAACGCCATTGCGCTCGGTTTTGTGTCATGTCCTCCGTTAGATCCAAGTACTCTAAGTCTTTTCTTAGAGTCTCTTCCAAAATTTTCCTAGGTCTTCCTCTACCCCTTCGGCCCTGAACCTCTGTCCCGTAGTCACATCTTCGAACCGGAGCGTCAGTCGGCCTTCTTTGCACATGTCCAAATCACCGGAGCCGATTTTCTCTCATATTTCCTACAATTTCGGCTACTCTTACTTTACCTCGGATATCCTCATTCCCAATCTTATCCTTTCTCGTGTGCCCACACATCCCACGAAGCATCCTCATCTCCGCTACACCCATTTTGTGTACGTGTTGATGCTTCATCGCCCAACATTCTGTGCCATACAACATCGCTGGCCTTATTGCCGTCCTATAAAATTTTCCCTTGAGCTTCAGTGGCCTACGACGGTCACACAACACGCTGGATGCACTCTTACACTTCATCCATCCAGCTCGTATTCTATGGTTGAGATCTCCATCTAATTCTCCGTTCTCTTGCAAGATAGATCCTAGGTAGCGAAAACGGTCGCTTTTTGTGATCTTCGCTAGATTGCTCCGGTCATTAGTGTGGATAAGTATATAAATGGATAGAGATAGGAAAGCAAACACAAGATGTACGTGGTTCACCCAGATTGACTACGTCCACGGAATAGAAGAGTTCTCATTAATTGTGAAGGGTTTACACAAGTACATAGGTTCAAGCTCTCCTTTAGTGAGTACAAGTGAATGATTTAGTACAAATGACATTAGGAAATATTGTGGGAGAATGATCTCGTAATCACGAAACTTCTAAGTATCGGAGTGTGGTGTCGTCTTGACTTGCCTTATCTGTCTTATAGGTAGATGTGGCATCTTCTCTGGAAATACTCTTCCTCCATCCAGGGGTGGTATCTTTAACTGGTGGAGATGCACAAGGTAATGTATCAATTTCACTTGAAGCTTACTTGTAGTTTTAGGCTTGGTCAAGCGCGATACAAACCATGTAGTAGGAGTCCCCCAAGTCGCCGAGCTAGGGGGTCTGCTGAAAGAGGTGACAGACAAGGTAAGCAATCAGAGCTCCGACTGATTGTTCACCTTCTCCCCATCTTGCAGCAGCATGAAGGATAAAGAGAAGAAAAATGAGAAGAGATGATATGAGATACTTTTGCTTTTGAAGAAGTAACTTTCCACAGGCTTATTCTTGAACTGAGCTGGAGGGTTTTCTGGTTTCCTCCAGAGTATAAGGCCGACTGAAGAATTTGAGGGTCAAAACAAGTCCATCAAATCTAGAGTACGTTCCACCCTGCTGATATGGGATACTTTTGCTTTTGACAGAGTAATGGATGTATCGGCACGTGTGCTGTTACGCTTGTCTCCACATGCTTCCTTGTATCCTTCGCACTTGACCTATCTGTTCCTCAAGCAGGTGCGGAATCTTCCCTGGAAACATAAGATGTTGAAGGTGAGTACTCGAGAGCAATGCCAGGTAAGTAATCAGGTAAGGGGTTCCATGCAGTCAGTTCCTGGCTGGAAGCTTGATTCCAAGTGCTGACTGATTGCTCTCTTTCTCCTTGTCTTGCAGGTAAAAACAAGGCCAAAGGAAAAGACAGGGAAAAAGCATGATATGGGATACTCTTGCTTTTAACCCTGATGATATGAGATATTCTTGCTCTAGTATAACTTGTTTGCAGAGGTATTATCGGGGGGAAAGAAAGCTGAATATTTCGAAAGGCTTCGTTGGGAGTGCCCTCTCAGATATGATGAAGGTTTGGGCATTTTTGCAGGTCTGCCTGTCCGTTGGGGATGGGGGTCGACATATATAGGAGTCTCCCTAACAACAAGTAGTAATGCTATTCCTTTACCCTGCTTGGTCATAGCACGGTAGTGGGAGCTGTCAGTTTCACATGTTTTAACTCTGTCAGAGCACTTTTGAAAAAGTGGTCTGTGGTATCTGGCTCTCGAGATTCGGAGAACGATGCCTCTACGATTTTTGAGAAAGCAATCATGCTGGGGGTCTGGCTCTCGAGATTCGGAGAGCAGTGTCTCTTCGATTTTTGAGGAAGTAATCATGTTGGGAGTCTGGCTCTCGAGATTCGGAGGGCGGTGCCTCTTCGATTTTGGAGCAAGCAATCTTGTTGGGAGTGTTGTCTCGAATGTGAGTAAAGGTTGGGCATGTTTGCTAGTCTACCTTGCCACGAAGCACAAAGGTTGACACACAGGGACTTTCCAATTATCCAGCAATGGTACTGTTCCTTTACCCTCTCTTCGATTTTGAGAAAGTAGTCATGTTGGGAGTCTGGCTCTCGAGATTCGGAGGACGGTGCCTCTTCGATTTTGGAGCAAGCAATCTTGTTGGGAGTGTTTTCTCGAATGTGAGTAAAGGTTGGGCATGTTTGCTAGTCTACCTTGCCACGAAGCACAGAGGTTGACACACAGGGACTTTTCAATTATCCAGCAGTGGTACTGTTCCTTTACCCTTGTGGGTAATAATATGGTAGCTAGACCTTCAAAATTTATGTGTCTAAACTTTGTTAGTGCTGTTTCTTTGCTATTCTTTTACCTTTCTTGGTCAGAGCGATGTAGTGGGAGCTGCAAGCTTCACGTGCTCAACTTTGGCAGAGAACTTTGGCAAAGTTATCTGTGGTACCCATGAGCTATTGTTGCGTGTGGGAAGTGGGTGATTGAACAGTAAGATTCATGTGCTTTCTACTTCACCAGAATGCCCATAATTTCTGCAAAGCTGAGTGTGCGTGTGACAGGTGCTGACAAGGCTAGAAAAGTAGGTGCCTCTTCGATTTCTGAGATCGGCCCTCGTGTCTCTGAGCAGCCCAGCTTTTGAGAAAGCGAGCGCCTCTTCGATTGATTCGGAGAACGATGCCTCATCGATTTTTGAGAAAGCAATCATGCTGGGGGTCTGGCTCTCGAAGATTCGGGGAGTAGTGTCTCTTCGATTTTTGAGAAAGTAATCATGTTGGGAGTCTGGCTCTCGAGATTCGGAGGGCGGTGCCTCTTCGATTTTGGAGCAAGCAATCTTGTTGGGAGTGTTTTCTCGAATGTGAGTAAAGGTTGGGCATGTTTGCTAGTCTACCTTGCCACGAAGCACAGAGGTTGACACACAGGGACTTTCCAATTATCCAGCAATAGTACTGTTCCTTTACCCTCTCTTCGATTTTTAAGAAAGTAGTCATGTTGGGAGTCTGGCTCTCGAGATTCGGAGGACGGTGCCTCTTCGATTTTGGAGCAAGCAATCTTATTGGGAGTGTTTTCTCGAATGTGAGTAAAGGTTGGGCATGTTTGCTAGTCTACCTTGCCGCGAAGCACAGATGTTGACACACAGGGACTTTCCAATTATCCAGCAGTGGTACTGTTCCTTTACCCTTGTGGGTAATAATATGGTAGCTAGACCTTCAAAATTTATGGGTCTAAACTTTGTTAGTGCTGTTTCTTTGCTATTCTTTTACCCTTCTTGGTCAGAGCGATGTAGAGGGAGCTGCAAGCTTCACGTGCTCAACTTTGGCAAAGTTATCTGTGGTACCCATGAGCTATTGTTGCGTGTGGGAAGTGGGTGATTGAACAGTAAGATTCATGTGTTTTCTACTTCCCCAGAAATCTTCGACAGAATGCCCATAATTTCCGCAAAGCTGAGTGTGCGTGTGACAGGTGCTGACAAGGCTGGAAAAGTAGGTGCCTCTTCGATTTCTGAGATCGGCCCTCGTGGTCTCTGGGGAGCCCAGCTTTTGAGAAAGCGAGCGCCTCTTCGATTTCTGAGATCGGCCTTCGTGGTCTTTGAGCAGCCCAACTTTTGAGAAAGCAAACGCCTCTTCGATTTCTGAGATCAACCCTCGTGATCTCTAAGCAGCCCAGCTTTTGAGAAAGCAAACGCCTCTTCGATTTCTGAGCAGGCGCCTCTTCGATTTCTGAAGCTCCGTCGAGTGCAGATTTTTATAGGGGCTGACATTAAGTTCCAAAGCACACTTGAATCTCCACCAGTAGAAGCTTCATTCTTGCACTTCTAAAATCTTGATTTGTCCGACCTCTTCTCTCTTCAACACCTTTGAAAATGTCTGGCCCCTCCGACCGTCGTTTTGACTTGAACATTGTTGAAGAGGCAGCCCCGCCTTCTCCAGACAACATATGGCGCCCATCCTTCGTCTCCCCTACTGGTCCTCTTACCGTTGGGGATTCCGTGATAAAGAATGATATGACCGCTGCGGTGGTGGCCAGGAACCTTCTCACTCCCAAAGATAACAGACTACTTTCCAAACGGTCTGATGAGTTAGCTGTTAAGGATTCGCTGGCTCTCAGTGTTCAGTGTGCAGGTTCTGTGTCTAATATGGCCCAACGCCTATTTGCTCGAACCCGCCAAGTTGAATCATTGGCGGCTAAAGTGATGAGTCTCAAACAGGAGATTAGAGGGCTCAAGCATGAGAATAAACAGTTGCACCGGCTCGCACATGACTATGCTACAAACATGAAGATGAAGCTTGACCAGATGAAGGAAACTGATGGTCAGGTTTTACTTGATCATCAGAGATTTGTGGGTTTGTTCCAAAGGCATTTATTGCCTTCGTCTTCTGGGGCTGTACCGCGTAATGAAGCTCCAAATGATCAACCTCTGATGCCTCCTCCTTCTAGGGTTCTGTCCAGTACTGAGGCTCCAAATGATCCCCCTCCGGTGCCTTCTCTTTCTGGGGCTCTACCGACTGCTGAGACTTCTCCTAAGAAACCTTTGTGAAGGCTCCCTCTTGTGTGTTTATTTTGACTCCTGTATATGTACATATTTGTAGCTTATCGGGGATATCAATAAATAAGCTTTCCTTCATTTCAACTTATTGTGTTAAATACACCAAAGCCTTCTTCGCTAAGTTCTTTGAATTTTCTTTTGTTGAAGCTTGTATGTTGAAGCTTTCTGAGTGGAGCATGTAGGTTGGGGTAGTGTTCCCTTAATTTTCCGAGTGAGGAAAACTTCTCGGTTGGAGACTTGGAAAATCCAAGTCACTGAGTGGGATCGGCTATATGAATCTTAGAACGCCATTGTGCTCGATCCTGTGTCATGTCCTTCGTTAGATCCAAGTACTCTAAGTCTTTTCTTAAAGTCTCTTCCAAAGTTTTCCTAGGTCTTCCTCTACCCCTTCGGCCCTGAACCTCTGTCCCATAGTCGCATCTTCTAATCGGAACGTCAGTATGCCTTCTTTGCACATGTCCAAACCACCGTAACCGATTTTCTCTCATCTTTCCTTCAATTTTGGCTACTCCTACTTTACCCCGGATATCCTCATTCCTAATCTTATCCTTTCTCGTGTGCCCACACATCCAACGAAGCATCCTCATCTCCGCTACACCCATTTTGTGTACGTGTTGATGTTTCACCGCCCAACATTCTGTGCCATACAGCATCGCCGGCCTTATTGCCGTCCTATAAAATTTTCCCTTGAGCTTCAGTGGCATACGGCGGTCACATAACACGTCGGATGCACTCTTCCACTTCATCCATCCAGCTTGTATTCTATGGTTGAGATCTCCATCTAATTCTCCGTTCTTTTGCAAGATAGATCCTAGGTAACGAAAACGGTCGCTCTTTGGTATTTCTTGATCTCCGATCCTCACCCCTAACTCGTTTTGGCCTCCATTTGCACTGAACTTGCACTCCATATATTCTGTCTTTGATCGGCTTAGGCGAAGACCTTTAGATTCCAACACTTCTCTCCAAAGGTTAAGCTTTGCATTTACCCCTTCCTGAGTTTCATCTATCAACACTATATCGTCTGCGAAAAGCATACACCAAGGAATATCATCTTGAATATGTCCTGTTAACTCATCCATTACCAACGCAAAAAGGTAAGGACTTAAGGATGAGCCTTGATGTAATCCTACAGTTATGGGAAAGCTTTCGGTTTGTCCTTCATGAGTTCTTACGGCAGTCTTTGCTCCTTCATACATATCCTTTATAGCTTGGATATATGCTACTCGTACTCCTTTCTTCTCTAAAATCCTCCAAAGAATGTCTCTTGGGACCCTATCATACGCTTTTTCCAAATCTATAAAGACCATGTGTAAATCCTTTTTCCCATCTCTATATCTTTCCATCAATCTTCGTAAGAGATAGATTGCCTCCATGGTTGAGCGCCCTGGCATGAACCCGAATTGGTTGTCCGAAACCCGTGTCTCTTGCCTCAATTTATGCTCAATGACTCTCTCCCAGAGCTTCATTGTATGACTCATTAGCTTAATACCCCTATAGTTCATGCAATTTTGTACGTCGCCCTTATTCTTGTAGATAGGCACCAAAGTGCTCGTTCGCCACTCATTTGGCATCTTCTTCGTTTTCAAAAAATCCTATTGAAAAGGTCAGTGAGCCATGTTATACCTGTCTCTCCCAAAAGTTTCCACACTTCGATTGGTGGTATATCGTCTGGGCCTATTGCTTTTTTATGCTTCATCTTCTTCAAAGCTACAACCACTTCTTCCTTCCGGATTCGACGATAAAAAGAGTAGTTTCTACACTCTTCTGAGTTACTCAACTCCCCTAAAGAAGCACTCATTTCATTTCCTTCATTGAAAAGATTATGAAAATAACCTCTCCATCTGTCTTTAACCGCGTTCTCTGTAGCAAGAACCTTTCCATCCTCATCCTTGATGCACCTCACTTGGTTTAGGTCCCTTGTCTTCTTTTCCCTTGCTCTAGATAGTTTATAGATATCCAACTCTCCTTCTTTAGTATCTAGTCGTTTATACATATCGTCGTAAGCCGCTAACTTAGCTTCTCTGACAGCTTTCTTCGCCTCTTGCTTCGCTTTTCTATACCTTTCACCATTTTCATCGGTCTTCTCCTTGTATAAGGCTTTACAACATTCCTTCTTAACCTTCACCTTTGTTTGTACCTCCTCATTCCACCACCAAGATTCCTTTTGGTGTAGGGCAAAACCCTTGGACTCTCCTAATACCTCTTTTGCTACTTTTCGGATACAACTAGCAATGGAATCCCACATTTGGCTAGCTTCCCCCTCTCTATCCCACACACATTGGGTGATTACCTTCTCTTTGAAAATGGCTTGTTTTTCTTCTTTTAGATTCCACCATCTAGTCCTTGGGCACTTCCAAGTCTTGTTCTTTTGTCTTACTCTTTTGATATGTACATCCATCACCAACAAGCGATGTTGATTAGCCACGCTCTCTCCTGGTATAACTTTGCAATCCTTACAAGTTATACGATCCCCTTTCCTCATTAGAAGAAAATCTATTTGTGTTTTTGACGACCCACTCTTGTAGGTGATCACATGTTCTTCTCTCTTCTTAAAGAAGGTGTTGGCTAAGAAGAGATCATATGTCATTGCAAAATCCAAGATAGCTTCCCCATCCTCGTTTCTCTCCCCAAAACCATGGCCACCATGAAAACCTCCATAGTTGCCTGTCTCCCTGCCCACGTGTCCATTTAAATCTCCTCCTATAAATAACTTCTCCGTCTGAGCAATTCCTTGCACCAAGTCTCCAAGATCTTCCCAAAATTTCTCCTTTGAACTCGTATCCAACCCTACTTGAGGTGCGTACGCACTAATCACATTGATAAGTTCTTGTCCTATTACAATCTTGATTGCCATGATTCTATCTCCTACCCTCTTGACATCTACAACATCTTGTACCAAGGTCTTGTCCACGATGATGCCAACCTCGTTTCTCATTCTATTTGTGCCCGAATACCAAAGTTTAAACCCTGAGTTTTCTAGATCCTTTGCCTTACTACCAACCCACTTAGTTTCTTGTAGGCACATAATATTTATCCTTCTCCTCACCATAACTTCCACTACTTCCATAGATTTTCCCGTTAAGGTTCCTATATTCCACGTTCCTAAACGCATTTTGCTCTCTTGAACTCTACCCTTCTGTCCTAGCTTCTTCACCCTCCCTTGTCTAATATGATCAAAGTACTTCTTTTGTGTGTCCCGGGTAAAGTTGATAGGAGCATATGCTCCCAAACAACTTTGAGTGGAGTCGTTCGAAAAGAAGTTTCTATGGCCCCCTTGCTCATTTAACACTGCATCCGGATGCCGATGGAGATACAGCGACCCTTGCTCACTTATCACTGTGCTCGGGCCACATAGCGCGCCACTTACGGGCGACGTCCTAGCTTTAGCGCGATTTTGTTCTGGATTCATTTTCATAAGGATTCGACGTGATCATGGAGTGCCGGCTGTCGACTACCTGACGCCCTCCCCCTCCTCCTTTATCCGGGCTTGGGACCGGCCATGTAAGACATAGGCGGAGTTAACAATTTGATACTATGAACTATCAATTTTGAGACGTTAATTGATTTAGGAATTTGTTTTGTCTCTATTTTAATTTTTCTTACATGTTTCAATTAGGACATTCCCACCAGTTTGTTGTGAGATACGCATCCTACAGTAACGCTTACACTTGTTTTACTAGACTAGTACCTTGAATGGTTCAATGGACAACATTCTTATCATTGTGCATTTGTGTGTTGTAGGTACCTGTTCTTATTCCTGAAATTTGTTGCCTCTGTAATTCCAACTATTGAATATGATTATACGATGGACTTTGATCTTGGCAGCGCCAGCAATTAACAACTTCGCAGAGGTAAAATTAGACTAGGAAAAGGATTTTACTGTTCTTCAGTATCCGTGAAGTAATGCTGGAAACTGTTGCCCCATTAAACTGTTTACCAGTTGACGGTTCATTTGTATTAGTATGTCTTTAAAAACTTATTTTTGCCAGTCGGGTTTTGAAAGTGTATTGATAAGTCTGCTCCGATAGCTGTTTCAAGTTACTCATGGAACTGCTTTAGTGGTTATGAAGTGGATTTTTGGCGAGATTTTCCCCCCTCCACCACTAAGAAAGTTGCTGCAGAATGTTATTTATAACCTACTGAATCTAATTCTTGGCTTTTCAGGGGATCGTAAATGCACTCGGTCGTCGCTTGTCATAGATTGGAGTCTTGGAGATGGAAGTTAAGATGCTACCGTTTGGAGACAATCTGCTCCGATTGCATTACGTTCGACTGCTTGTACAGATGGCTAAATTGTTTATGGTGAAAATTCTCTTAGGTGTTTGTTGATATGTGTTGCGGTGCACAATTTCCCGTCCATTGTTTTCTAATTTTACCCATGCTGCTCTTGTATTTTAACTTTTGTCAATTAAGAACAAATTAGAAACTCTTGTCGCATAGTTGCGTGGGCTTGAAGTGATTGATGTGAGATGGACTCAACAAATTAGAAACTATTGCATTCAATTTTACGACGCCAAGGCGTTTGTAAATGACTCATTTCAAGTGGGAATTCATATGGTGCATTTTTAATTGTTCATATCTAACATTTTGTAATCCATTTTATACTTGTCATAATTCCTCGTGTATGTGCTTTTATTGCTTTATAATTAATTTAATTAAAATAAAGATACCCACCTAAGCCCTTGCTCGCCGCCTAGCTAGTGCATAGGGCTATATAAAACCTTGCCTCACACATATTTAGATACTCATTTTGCAGGACCTACGTTGTAATGTATTTCAATGATCTACACTGTTTATATTTTGGTTCATCATTTATAGATCATCCTTGTGAAAAGAATTGGATAAATCAAATTAGACAAATCTTAAACTATTAAGATGTTCATTTGTAGTAAAGAAAATGGATAAATATGTTTCTACAAAGAAACGCTAAATTTAATTCAATATTCATATGTTTTTGGATTTTGGTTGATTTTTGGTAGACATGATCTTTAAGTGATGACTTAAAAGATAGTTGGTTTGGATGTTGAAATACATTACAGAATGGACTTCACAAAAACATGTGTCAAAAGCGGGTATTCGGTTCTTCACTCATATATATAGTTACTTTTTTTGTTAGTTCCCATGGCATCACAAAATTGGATATGTGGGTGTGAAATACGTGTGCCACATCATCAATCTAACGCACATTTTAACGGAAGTTAACAGCATGAATTAATGGTGCACGTTTTGTTAATTCAGGTACCTCAGTTAGCGGACATTTCATTTAAGACCAAGTCGAAATTTCACTCTTGAATGTGTACAATTAACCTTGAACTCCAAACTACCAACTCGTTAAGATATTTATTGCTTTAAAGTACCCTGTACCCGAAACCCTCAAACCCCCATCACATCCTCCTTAGCAAACTCGCCACGAATTGTCGCGAGGGCTTGACCACAAAAATCACGTGTCATTTTTTTTACAAACGTTAGCGTGTAACGAATTAAATTGTTTGTTATTAGGAAGGAGGGAGATTTGAGAAACAAACTCACACCAGAATGTATAGACATGATTACTTTCTACCACTACAGTAAAGCGACAGCTGTTATTTTCTCTTGTTTTTTTCATTGATAAGAATGTTGGAGAACGGTGGGAGTTGAGTGACCTTTTTTAATCAGTTGGTGCTATTCGCACAATTATTTTACTTTTTGCATACTCCTCTTGATTTTTAGTCATCGAATTGAATGAATTGAAGAAGATTAACGGACAAAAATTAACAAAAGTATATAAAAAATAAAAAAGAAGTGTGTGAGTAGCACTAGTCCATGTTATGAAGAAGTGATCCACCATATCATTCCTTGTATGCATAAGCAATGAGCTTTTCTCTCACTAGAGTCCATTGTCCAGAGTCTAGATCTCTCCACTACAAAAGAGAAAAACATGCATGCATCAAAAGCATACAAGTATCTAATCATTCATTCAGCAAAAGCATTCAAATGCAGCTCTTTCCAACTTCAAAGAATTCATGATATCGATTCCTTGCTCGTTGTAGACGTTCTATATAGCTCGATCCCAGTCACAATTATTTCATTGCATGATTGAAATTTTAATATTTGACGTCTCTTTTGTTATAGGATGACGAGGTTTTTTAATACAAGATGAGAGTTTAAAATTTTTGTCTAAGACAACGATTACGACTTTTTTGTACTAGTGCTGGCCGTAGTTGCGAACCAATTGTCTAATGATTTTGTGGTTACGAGTCTTATGACTAATTAGTGAAATATATAATCAACCAGTCTCTAAATTGTGATTAGATTCTTCATGTGTAATGTAATCAGTGTCTTTGTCCCCTCATGTTGCTTTCTTTCTTTTTAGGTCTCCATTGTCATCCTCGGACACAATGCAATGCCAGAGTACGTAAGATATATAACACATGCAACCCCAAATCGACATGATTTTCTTGTTATATATTTAGATTATATGCTGCCAACTGTATATATATTATAAGCAATCAGAACGTACAATGTTAATCAACCTGAAAAAAAAAACAAATCAAAACACACCTCAAAGATTTAGACCCTTATAAACCAAACCAAAACAAAATGTATCATATCAAAGATTATAACTAATCGTACAGGGCACATTTGATACAAGATTATTGAGATTAGCTTGGACTGGTTTGACTTGGATTGGGTTGATTCTACTTCGACCCTTTATTTTATATGGTTTAAAAATTAGCTATAATCTTAACTTATCCAAGTTAATTAAACTCAAGTTTGCCCCATATTGAAATTAAGTTTAAATAGCTCAATCCAGTCATAGATCGGTCAAACAAAACCCCCATAGGGTGATACATAGTACATACTTTCTAGGTTTGGTGATCCATCGTGTCGTGTTTGCCATGTTCGTATCGTTTTCGTGACATACTTGATATCTTAATGTGTCGTGTCAAACTCATTAAAAAGAACGGGTAGATGACCTGACCCGAACTCGACTTGTTAAAATTAACAAGTAATATGATCCAATCCATTACCCATTTTTTTTCCATTACCCATTAATATATATATATATATATATATATATTATTTCAATAAAGAATCAAATTAAAATGTCATATTAAATTATATATACTAAAACTGGGTTGGGAACGGCACTGTTCATTAATAGTGTCCGGACGGAAATGCCCTTGCTTCTCTGTTTTCTTTCCGTTTGTCTCGCTTGCTTCATGCGCCGGAGAGACGTTTTTGCCCCTGTTTTCCACGTGTCGGTCATCCTTATTCTCTCGACTTCGAGAGTCTTCTTAACGAGTTAGGGTTTTGTTCCTTCGTTGCCTTTCCTGATTTCGGCTTTGGTCTTTTCGTTTTGCCCGTTCTTTCTTCCAATCCTCTGCTTCTCTGTGGTCTCCGTTCTTTGTTTCGCAGAAAGGTCTGCTGATTTTTGTGGTTTAAGGGACTTTGTGGTTGCCGGGTCGTTATGCGTCTATTTACACTTGGGGTTTTTTACGTTCCGAGGGTTTCGACATCTCTGATCCAGGGTAATGAATTCCTGATGTTTGCCCCTTTTTTCCGTTTTGGATTTCTGGGTTGTGGCTATGATTTTGGCCGATTTCCAGCCCTTTTCAGGGGTGGCGTCTTTCCACCCCACTGTGGAACAAGTGTGATTCAGCCAAGGTATATTTTATAATCATTTTCTTTCGGTTTTTATTTTTGATTTTTCCTTTGTTTCAATGAAACCTTAATCGTTTCCTTTTATTGCCAGTTGTGGTGCTCTCTTGGGTTTTCCCTGTTAAAAGAGAATTTTGCATTTTCGTTCTTTGGTTGGCAAATCTCGGATGGCATATGCAATGCTGCTGTAATTTTTTGGGTATGTTTTTTGCGCTTCTATTTTTTCGGTTCGGACATGGATTGATAATTATTGGATTTAAATGGAGTCGTAGTTTTTGGGGAAAATATGGGAGGAGTTGTTGAGGTTGTGTGAAGGTTTGTTTTTTCTGGGTTTTATGCTGCAGGGGGTTACAAACACAGAGAGGAGGAGAGGAAACATTAGTTTAGATTGTGATTTAATTTTTTTTTATGTTCTTGGTGGTATAAATTGTGTGAGTGCAGTTGTTTTAAAATTATTTGGGTCTGTTTTTTATGGTTATGCTTTTTTCCAGTATGGATTAAAATGGATTTGGAATTTTTGAGAATAAATTAAAGGGTCGTTGGAATTTTGGAAGCCTCTGTGCTTTTGCTGAACGTGCAGACAATCTTGAAAATGTGTGTCAAAAGACTAATGTTTGTATATAAAAATTGCAGCCATGTGGTAAAGAGCAATGGTTCATTAAACTAAATGTCAAAGAACAAATCCATGTGTTGACTGCGTTGAAAGGCACAAATTTTTTTGACATGTTTGGGTTTTATCTCATATGGGTTAGATGTCTGTTTGATTTGTTAAACCTGTGTATCTGCATTTGTCTTATTCATGTGGATTAGTGGAAAAACAAAATGGTATTGCTCTGACAAATTGTTGCTCACTTACAGGTCTGAAGACTAATGTTACAAATTGTGATTCCAAATCAGCTTATCCTTAATTCACAAATACCAAGATCGTTATTTATCTATGAGTACATGTGATTTATAAATTGACATTCTCACTGAGTTTTTTCTGATTGTGTTGGTTGTCATATCAATTGGTGTTATTCCTTTTTCACAGTTCAAAAATCTCTTCCGTCTCAATGGATAAATCCATATATTGGCTACCTTGAAAGACACAAATTGTTTTTACATGTTTGAGTTTTATCTCAGGTGGGTTAGATGTATGTTTGATTTGTTAAACCTATGCATTGCAGTCTGTCTTATTCATGTGGATTAATGCAAAAACATAATAGTATTGGCCTGACAGATTGTTGTTCACTTGCAGGTTACAAAACTAATACTACAACTTTTGTTTCCAGATCAATTTATCCGCAATTTGCAAATACCAAGGTCATTAGTTATCTGTGAGCACATGTGATTTAAAAATTCACTGTCACTGACTTTGCTCTGCTGATTAAATTCTGTGATCAGTTTAGTTTTTTTGCTTTGTTTGATCATTTGATTAGTCGTTGGACCGTACGGATTAAATTACGTATAGAGATAATAAGTGTTGTTTTTTATTTTTTCCATTGAGATTGGTTTAGATTTGATTTATAAAAAATAAAATAAAAAAACTGACAAAGAAATGATACGCAGTGATATAGAATGGTTAAATTACGATCTCAGTATCTGTGAGCACATTCGAATTGTAAAATCTGGTAAATTATTTGAAGCAATTCTGATTTCAGCTTTTTGGACTTTACAAATAGGAAGATGAGGAGATAAAAAGAAGTACAAAGGGATGCATTTAGCTTCCACTTTTTCATCGTTTATTTGGTCAATTCTTGCATTGTTTTATTTGGTGAATTCTTGATTAACGACTGGTTCTTCTTGGTTGGTCTAATTGGGTAACTTAAGAATTTCATTTGTTGATTAAATTTCATGTGAGAATTTTTTGTCCTGATGGATCCTTTTTTTTTACCATTATTCAATTTTTTTAATGATGTAGTTGAGTTCAGTATTCCTTTGGAGTCTCTGCAAGTTTAAAGTAATCTATGTTGTTGTTGTTTTGATTGTGCGTTTTGTGACTTACGTTATTTTAATAAGAATGTTTTCAATTTACTGTAATCTCAATCTCAATGGATTTTTTATGATACGCCTTATTAGTGAATTTATCTACATTTTTCAAATGTTGGTCTCGACGATTGTGATCACTGCACTATGTGGATTTTGTTTGAATTCCTAAATTGTGTCGAACATTTGACAAGTGCTTCTTGAATAAATTTCGAGTAAAGAGCGTCCAAATATGACAATTTCAGGGTTTCAAATTCATTGGAAAATATGAAATAATTTTGCATAGTTTCTGATTAATGCGAAACGTTGGTACTTTTGTAGTGATATATGCTTTTGGAGAAAGTTGTAAAGTTTGATACTTTTCAGCTTTAATCTACTTTTTCCGTTGTCTTAAGGTATAGATCCCCGCATTTAATTTACTTCTTTTTCCAGGAGCAGTTTGAAGGATTAAAATGTTGTCATTTGGTATAGATGATCTTGGTTTAGCAAATTGATAGCGAGATGGAACACTCCTAACTGCATTGTAACTCCTAACTACGTTGTAAGTTCTACTCACTCATCCTATAAGAGTTGCTTCATAATTGTAATATTCAAAGCCAGATAGCTATTTCAGTTATGGTTCGATTATTATTTTCCTTTTCAATTGTTATTCTTCATTTTTGATGTGGTTGCTGTTTGTGATTTCCATGCAATATGATCCATACTCTCAGTTTTCTTTTGAGAATTCCTCTCTTTGCCTTTTCCCAATGTTAATATTTTTCACCATGATAGAAATTTTAGGGTCTATGTTAGTATATATATTAATTTTGATCCTACAAGTTCAAGGCATTGATGATGGAATTAAGTTCAACTCTGCTCATTGTTCCTTTTGTAGATAAGGTTGTACAGGAGCAAGACGTAGCACCGCAGCATCGCGCGGGTAGTCTTGCTAGTTAGTATCTATATACCATGTTGTCACTAAATTAGTATCTATATGTCCTTTATTCTAGATCCAAAACCCTAAACCCTAAAATTCAAACTATAATATAACCATTGTCAAAGCGTAGAGGATTGATCACGAGCGTTGATATAATTTTTTTACAATTTTCGCACTTATAAATTAATTATTATGAATTATTACACATTTTCAACTCCACCTAAAAATAGTGTTCACCAGGGTTTGGAGGGTTTTAAAAAATTCAAACGACGATGGGTACATCGTCAAAGCGTAAAATATGCGATCATGAGCTTTTTCATATTTGTTTCATATTTCTTACACTTGTAAATTAAATATTATGAATTTTTAATGTAATTTGATTTTTCCTACACAATAACAAAGCACAACAAAAAAAATTTCCTACTAATTAATTACAAGTGTGAAAAATATAAAAATACTTGTGATCGTGACAGCCCAGCTCTCCTAAGGTCCTTATTTTGAGGACCTATGAGAACCAAATCTATATTAGCCATAAGATTATATTAGTTTAGATCCAAATACTCAAAATATTTGACAACTTAATAAAGCAAAACCAACTTAAAATCCATAAACCATTAGAAAACTCATTTTCTTGTTTTGCTTTATTAAGTAGTCAAATATGTTAAGCCTTTAGGTCTAACTAATATAATCTTGTGGTTAATATACATTTGGTCTTCACAAGTCCTTAAAATAAGGACATTAGGAGAGCAGGACAACGTGATCGCATCCCCTACGCTTTGATGATAGGCAAATCGTCGTTTGGATTTTTAAAACCCTTCAAACCCTCATGTACAAATCCATAATAATTAATGTACTAGTGTGAAAAAAAATATACAAACGCTTTGCATCCTCGACGCCTGGAAGATGATTACATTGTCGTTTGGATTTTTAAACCCTCCAAACCCTCATGAATAGTGTTTTTTGTTTGAGTACAAACTTAATAATAATTTCAAACTTTTAAAGGCTCGTTTAGAAGTGCTTTCAAAATTACTGAAAGCGATTTTGATGAGAGTGCTTTTAGAACCAATCCTTAGTAAAAAGTGAATCCTCTAAAAGCACTTAAAGTGCTAGTAGTGCTTCTTGCATGAAGCATTTCCAGTGCTTTTGGAACCAAAAAATACTTTCACCAAAAACACTTTCAGTCATTTTAAAATCACTTCCAAATGAACCATAATTTAAAAACAAGAAGATCTAAGTGTTTCTCCAACTTAATGTCCTAGAAGATAATCCTTTAAAAGTATATTTTGAGAAAGAGTTAGAATTGAGAAAATAGAAGTTGCTAAAGTAACCAAAAAAAAAAAATCTTAAATAAAATTATGAATTTTGCAAAAAAAAAAAAAAAAACATGAATTATCAATATTTATGAGTTATTTCTTTTATGTGTTTCATCTACTAATGGGATTACAATCCCTATATGGCCGAGATATACCATGAATCCAATGCAACAAAGATATTTTCTTAAACGGCACTCTTAATTAGTGACCTTTAGCAATGTCTCCATAAGTTCAATGTTCACTAATCAAATGCGCGTATAGTGAGGGGTTCAAACTAACCAATTAAGGAGAGTGTGCCGTAATGAATCATTTTCAAGCTCATATTTCCTACTATAAAGACATAATAACCAACCATGGAAACGTAAATGTTCCTCTTCGAAGAAACCCATAGCTTCCGGATTTTACTATTCTTTAGAGTCTAACTTAGACATTGGAGGGGTTTTTGTTCACACCACACCATTAATCAGTATGACAAGGTTTTACTTATCAATTCTCTCATTTGTCACAGGAACACCGTAACTATTTGACCCTCGTGTAAAATTCGTTCCTCATAGTATTTGGATATTAAAATTAGACTGTGTGGTTGAGCAATAAGCAATCAAATAAATGAGGGCGATCAAAATAAAAATATTTGCGAAGCTTTGTAACCTAAATAGGTGTAAAGAATATTTGAGCATTAGTGGTACCACTTAAGTTGATTTAGTGTGAGTGTGATTGTGAAGGACAATTATTTCAGCATCATTATGTAAAATCACCAATCTTAACATCTTAGTGACTGTGTAGACACCAATTATTTGGTACTAGAGTTTAGATATGTCTTTCATTCTGATGGCGAACGAGCATCAACATGATTAAAGCCGCTGTTACTGTGACGTAATCCTGATGGACTTTCACAAATCTAAATCCAATCATTCATTTGGCAATTAGTATTACGATTTAATGATATTATTCTTCACTTGTAAGTGAGAGATTTTAAATTTGATTATCGTCAAAAGTAAATTTGAACCACATAAATAATTGGTATTTCTCTTCACTCTTGTAAGGGAGAGGGTTGATTATCCCGTTTGAGAGAAAAAAAATAAAAAATCCAATCATCCATCTTTTGTAATCAAAAGGTTGTCACCACTGGCAAGCACTAGTCAATATCATTTGGTTTAACACTCACTGCAACGCATGATTACTCATCACATCCAAAGAGCATCGCAATATGTATTTATTTTGTATTTATATATGTTAAAATGTGATATATCAACCTTGTTCCTCAGTTATATTATAACCACTGTTCGAAAAGTCCATGCCTAGCGCCGAGCAGTTGGTCACCATCCCGATTAATGCTTAGATGTATAAAAATTAATAAAGGACGTCTAAGCCTGTTGAGGCGTCCTCCTAGACGTCTAGCCCGTCCAGGGCTGCCTAAGCACTCGCCTAGGTTGCGACTCACTTAGACAGAAAATAGATTACTTTCATTTTGTATTTTATTTTTTTTTCAATAAATTGTAAGAGACTTATTGAATGCTTAAATGAACACACATTATATGCTTGTTCCTCATGTTTTTCCTCATATTCCAATACTTTATAATATATATGTCATTCTATTTTGTAGTTTATGATGCTGAAATTATATATATTTTAAGTATAAATACACTTATTTACACGAAATATATAGATCTACTTAAATTAGCCTAGGCGCTAGGTCCCAGTCCGCCGTCTAACTAGCACTTAGCGTTTTTAGAACCTTAATTATAACAAATAAAGTAATGATAAATTTTTAAGCTTAATATTGTCATCATAAAAATATCTCGATGATATTAGGAGTTGAATCTTCTACATATAAAATATATATTATTTTGTTATATTTTTGACACGAATTTATTCTCTAACAAGCAATACTTGACGTGACATAGTTCCAAATATAGGTAAAAATTTATCTAAAATGAGAGAGAAGGGATTTTATGTCTTTAGTTTTGTCTCACACCGCAGTGTTTAGCTAGTCGTTAATTATTTGTTTAGAGGAAGTAATAGGAGCTCAATGATTAGAGACTCGTGGGTCATTTTTTAA